GTACACTGTCCCTTCCTTATTCTTCAAATATATCAACGCCTGTTTCAGGGCATAGAGTTCTCAGACTTGCGCTGACCACCCAGCAGGCAATCTCCCTTTTTCTAACACTACCATTTTTTTGCCCATTGATAGTTGCATAACCTGATATTCTTTTCCCTTCTAGGCATCAAGAGGACCCATCAACACATAGTTTTTCCCCATAAGGCAAAGGTTCATCTAACAAATCTTCTCTTTTGTTTGGTAATTTATAAAATCCAAACAGTCATGTTCTGGTTCCTGAACATCCTCCCTGTATAGAAATTATGGGGGATTAATGTTTTTATTTGTTACTAATGTGAGATCTATCTGATCCATCAGTATTGCTTCATATTTCAACATCCTTGAGTCTGTTAACCACCTTCCAGCTTTCTGACTCAACACGCTCCTCACTGAGTGTGGAGTATGCGCAATGATAGTACCTCCAAATGTTAATTTTCTACTTTCCTCTACCAAAATCACTGTAGCAGCTACTGCCTGTATACAGGTTGGCCACCCTCGACTCACAGGATCTAAGTCTTGAGAGATAAGCCACTGGTTTCTTTTGCCCTCCCCAATCCTGAACCAACACTCCATGAGCCACTCCATTTTCTGCATTTACAAAGTTCCATCTGTTTTCTTTATTGGAAGTATAGGAGTGTTGTGGGGAGACATACAAGGTTCAAGGGTGCCGTCCTGCAGTAAGGATTCCATCACTGGTTTAAGTCCTTCTTTCCCTCCTCTTGGTATATTATATTGTTTTACCCTGATAGGGTGTGACTCATCTTCTATTGTTACCTTAATGGGGAGAATATTCAACCCTCCCTCACTCTCTTCCTTGGCCCAAACCTCAGGTTTCACCTCCCTCTCATCCTCCTCCCATAATTCTAGTAATTTAACCACCATTTTTCCTTCATCTGGTACCATACCTTTTCCTAACTGCACTTGTAAATCTCTACCTAGCAAATTACATCCTACCCCTGGCATTAACAACATATTGATCTTCCCCTTGTATTAACACATTCTTTATAACTGAGACCGAAAACCCTTCGCCTTTAGCCCCTACAGCCTGGGTTGTATCTTTTCCCTCTTTACATAATCTTCCTCCTGGGGTCCTAATTTCAAATTTATCAAGGGCTCTTCTGTTGGTATATCCCCAGGAGGTAGAGCCCCTGACACCCCTAGCGATTACCACCCTCATCCTGTTGGGTTTCTTCAAACACCAACAGGTCCCGTATTCGCTGGGGGCATTTCTCATTTATAATGGCCCCCCCTTCCCACAATAAAAACATCCCCTTGTGATTTCCCTAGCCAGTGGTGCCTCTTCTCTTGGTCCCACTTTCTCTTTCATTCCCTTGCTTCTTTCAAATTTGTTATTTCCCCTCTGAGATTCCCTGTGTTTATTTCTAACAGCCTCTTGTGCAGTTATCATAATTTTAGCTTTAGTTTTAACCTTTTCTTCATCCCTCCTAACATATACTTTCTGTGCTTCTCTCAGGAGTTCATCCAGACTCCTGTTATGCCAATCATCTATTTTCTCTAGCTTTTTCTTAATGTCCGGCCACGAGTGAGTCACAAAATTCATCCTGAGTAATTCCTGCCCTGCCACACTCAAGGGATCTATTCCTGAATATTGTTGAATATTATACCTCAACCTTTCTAACCACTCAGTGTTTCCTCCTTCCCCTGCTGACCATCGACGGCCTTACTCGCATTCTGTCCTCTCGGGGCTGCTTCTTTGATTCCTTTCACTATTAATGACCTATAGTCACTCATATGTCTCCTCCCCTCTTGTTCATTCTGATTCCACTGTGGAGGGGTTACAGGGAGCTTCTGTTCCCCGGGTATCCCCTGCTGATTTTCTCTCTCCCTGTCACTCCCATAGCTGCATTCCTGCTGTTCTATTCATCTGTCTCTCTTCAGGAGAAAAAAGGATTCCCATAATTGAGTGCATCTCCTCCCATGTATATATATTGGGTCCCAAAAATTGATCAATCTCTTCTGACAGCCCCACAGGTTCCTCTACTAACTTCCTTTCTTTCTTATACGCCCTCACTTCTGCATTAGTGAGCTGCACATTCACAAATCCTACCCTCGCCTTGAATTCCCACCACTGGAACTTCCCGCAAGGGATAAACCTGAGCCTCCCCCTGCTCCCTTTCTATAGCCCTTAAGTGATTCCTCCCCCCTTAGTTGCTGCCAGGTTTCAGGTCTGATATTAACAACAGAAGCCTCCTCACTCGCATCTTCCTCCTCACCCGCATCTTCCTGCTGCACCCCTTGATTTTCTAGGTGTGCCAGGTTATATGGGAGGGTAAGTTATCCAAAGGGTCCCATCTCCTCTCCTTCCTTTCCCTTTTACCTTCTTCAACCTGCTCCTCCTGCTTCAATTTGAAAATCCCAAATCTCCGCAACTCCTTCCAACACAGGGCATATTCACCTTCTTCTTGATTAAATGGTTCCTCTGAATTAACATAAATATTAAGAGCTTGACAAATCCAACCTTCTTCTGATTCATATTTTGGCCAATACACCGAATCTTCCCTGGTAGGTCCTTTAGTCCATTCAAACATACAATAATTTACCATCTTGATCTTTCTCTTTCCTCTGGTATATGGGCTGTAATCCCAATTTGCTAATTTCTTTTCTAATGGACTGTTCGATGGAATATCACCTGGTAATTTCTTGTTCCTTTTTTTTTTTTTTTCCCCAGGGCTAGGCTTTCCCACCTCCTGTCCCTCCGCTTTTTTTTTTTTTTTCCTTCTCCTCCCAGCCTTTCCCTAATGGACTGTGTGGGAAATGGCAATCCTTGGCTCCCTATTACCCTGGGAACTCAACTATTTAGCTCCTAGTGTCTTGTTTACTCAACTAGGTAACTGAAGTATCTTGTTTCCCCCTTTTCCTGGGGAACTCAACTGTCCATCTCCTAGTATCTTGTTCACTCAGCTAGACTAACTGAAGTATCTTGTTTTCCAATCCGAGGAAACTCAACTGCCTAGCTCCTAGTTTCTTGTTCACTCAACTAGACTAACTGGAGTATCTTGTTGCCCCTTCCCTCCCGGGGGAGCCGTTCACACCTTTTCCCTCGCTTCGTCTCTTCACCGGCCGTCCCCCTCGCGGGAGCACGGACCCGCGGTTACAAAGACTCCACAACCGCTTCGCCAGTGCGACCTGGGCCTCACCTCTCACACACACACACCTTTCAGTCCTCCCCCAGCCCGCCAGCCGGGCACTACTCACCGTCCCCTTTTCGTTGCCCGGATCTTGTGCACAAGGTTTAACGGCTGCCGCGGTCTCCAGGGAGCCCTACCCCCTCTTTGGTCCACGAGTTCCCCTCTGGGATCGTCACCGTTGACCTCCGATGGCGCCGGAGGGAACCGAAGAGACCCCTGCACTCAGCGGGGTGCGCCTTCCCTTCAGAACCCTCTAGCCCCACGGCAGTGAGGCTTCTGTCATCCTGGACGAGCCCCCAGTTGTGAGAAACAAGCCCACGTGTATATAGAAAAAAGGTTTTGTTGGGGACAAAGTCAGTGGAGCCAAGAATACAGCGCTGGGCGCGATGGCGTGCCCTGCCCCAGCAGGGGCCTCTTTTTATAGTGCCAGTCCTCCTTTTTGTACCTGCGCAGTTACTTCTTCTTGGTTTCTTCAGGGCTGTCTCTCCCTGCACTTTCCCACCGCTTCACTACTTCTTATCACAAAACAGACAGCTGCTGAGCAGGGGAGGCAACCACAGTGCTGTATGTAACCTTTGGTTTAAACATGAAATCAAACAAAGAACAGTGCAACACAGCCAAGCCAAGCAACAAGTCCACTCGCTCTCCTTTCCCCCTCCTTCCTCCTCTTCTCTGGCATTTACAGCTGGTCTCGGTGGTCTTCTTGGGGGGGGAGTGTTGGTGGGGGAGCCAAGTCCAGGTTCCTCTTCATCAGGAGTTCTTCGCTTAACCCTTCTTCTGCTGGCTTCCATTCCTCTTTACATGACACCTAACCGCAGACCACTCCCCCCATCCTTTTGCTTGCCCAACTCCACACAAAGCCCAACCATATGCCTAACTTGTGATCAAAAAAGGCTTGCTTAACTGCTGTAATTTTAACAACACTAATTTTTAATAACAGCTTGAGCCTAACTCAATAAAAGTAACTGTTTAATTACTTTTAGCGAAAGCAAAATTCTGCTGTTATTTATCACATACGCATGCTCCTATAAACTGTAAGACTACAAATAAAATCAGTAAACATTAGGTCAAAATGAATAGAATTAAAAAATAAAAGTAAAAAAAAATGAGGACCACTTTTCGTGATAAATTCATAGCTTAAGGTCAACCACCAGTCACGCATACTTGGCAACAGCTCTGAGCTGCTTTCTTTTTATTTTAAGTTAGTAGCCTGTGTTCAAATTATTCTCGATAAATGAACTCAGCTCACACTGTGAGGGAAACTTTGCCTGTTCTTTTTGCATAAAAAGGAACCACTGCCAGCAGTCACAGCAAGAGGTAATTTTAGGTACTTCTCCATTGACTTCTTATTCTGGACCTCACACACAGAGTCCTGCCTGCTTCTAGACACCTCAGGATAAAAATTGTTGTTGCAATTCTTTCACACAACAAGCTCCAACTCAAACTGAAGATTATTTATGTAATAAATCAGACCACCAAACAAGTACAACCACTTTTGTTTTTTGTATCCTGCAATCACTTTGCATTGTCCCACGTGCTGTCACTAAGAGACATCTGTTTCATGTAAAATCTTCGGCTCTCAGTCTTGAGGGCTTGACAGAAGTTTGCTTGTACTGCACAGGAAAAGCAGAGCAGCTTCACTTGAAGATTCTATGAAGGTTGAAATAATTTAAGGATAATCAAAATTTACATTGTAAAATAATCTCATCTGCATGTTTTTAGAAACAAGAATGTTTTCACCAGCTTTTATAAATAAACAGTGTAAAGCAGCTATAGTTATGTTAAAAGTGTTTTCCTTCTTACAGTACTTACATTTTAGCTGGACTAAAATATCAATATTTCTAGTAGTTTCAACTACTTGTTTTCTAAAGGCTCTTCTACAATTTTTGAGTCTTTTCGTTTCCACAGATTTCCAAGCACAATCCCTGTGAAGAGTAGAATTCCTACAGTACGATTTGAAGCAAATTTCTTCCAACAGTCTTCAGGTTTGTCTATGTCCAAAGTGTAAATCTGCAAAAAGCACAGTATAACATTCTAGCATTATTAGTCTACAGCCACATAAATATTTGATACATTACAAAAAGACACAAAAAGGTCTGTAACTTCAAAAAATGAATCTCAAAGTCTACCTGTACTTCTACAATAAACAAGAACACTCTGCTTACAAAGCATTTTTTTCATAACTGTCACCTATGCATACTTGACAGATTTATCCAACATACAGCAGAAAAGTCAAGGATCACATATGAACACAATTTCCAAACCCTCTCAACGAAGAGCTGTATAAACAGCTTGGATATTGATTGGTGTGTCTGGTTTGATATTTAAAAATGTAAAAACATCTGGGCATGTAAATAAGTATTTTTGAGATTTTCCTCAGTAGGTAGCCACCTAATTCTTCAACAGGAACTATAAATAAAAACAAACCCCCCAAAACCTCCCTGCCCCTTTAACTCTCTGCTGTGAAGCGTTGCTCTGTGTTTCAGAAGAGACAAGGCACTGGAGAGCCAGCAGTGAACCAGGCTAATTGGAATGCACAGGACGGTGCCCAGCCCTGCCTAATCACCCAGGTTTAGTCCAGTCGCTCTTAGCCATGCCCCTTTATCTCTCTTGCAAAAAAGAAGGAGTACACCTGCAACAACAGCTAGAAGCAAGGCTTGCCCAGCTTGGCAGCTGACTGCTGTGAGTCACAGCTGAAGGTGAAAAAAAAAAACCACACAGTGAAGCCAGAGCAAAGTTACTGAAAAACATTCCTGGAAACAAAACTTGGTGCAAAAGTCTTGAGAAGGATGATAAGAGGAAAGGTTAAGCAAAACAAGTGAAAGGGTTAATAGAGAAGTACCCCGCAAAAGCCCAAACCTTGCAATTCAGTCACTGAAGAAGTCAAAACAGAACGTATCTGCCTAAAAGAAGTGAAACCTTTCCTGTGAAACCTGTTTCTCTGCCATTTGCAGTTGTACAGAGGTGACAGGTCTGGGTTCTGATCAAATAATCTGAAACGTTGTCCACAAACTTCTAATATATGATGTTATCCACGCCCTTGACAACCTGTCAGCCTTTCAACCACAGGGAACTGAAAAGCCTGAACTGACAAACAAAACCCACGGCAGCTGAGCTATGAGATACACCTTCAGAAAAAGCAAATAAAAGATGTTATTTTTCTATCAGTGAACTTCTTGATCGGGATAGAAATTTAACATCTTCATGACCCAAACTCCTCTGTCTCGGGCACAAATTCAATGAATTAAGGAAAACCTGCCCCTCACACAGCTTACTCAGCTTTCTAAACTCAGTTAAGTACACGTTTCAAAGTCTTGAACAAGAAGATAAGCATGAGAATGCTTAGGCAGAACTAATATTAAAATAATCACTCAAAAAGCAGCTACTCTGCGGTACACAGAAAAATGCTGCTCTTGTGACCTTGGCAATCTACACAATTGTTGTGCACTCTTCACCACTTACATCCAATAGGTCTGCATTCTCACTTATAAAGACCCTCCCTGCAGGAAAGTAATTTCCATTTGCGCCAGAACTACAATGTAAGGCCTCTCTGACAATTTAAATTGTAAATGATTATGCAGTGGGACATACTGTTCTTTTCCTCATAGATTTCCAAGTACGATTGCTATGAAAAGCAGTGGCTGACAAGGACCAGACCACATCACCACAAGAATTCTCTTACTCAGAGGTATGCTTAGTATCACCTGCATGAGGTCCCCCCATGCAGGTGTAACGTAAGACTAATGTGCTTTAAAAACTTTCATGTTAACTACAGACTTAACTTCTCAGAATGTTGATGGCTTTACTACTTGCAACACACAAACCTCTTTGCTATCGCTCACCTATCAAGACCAGCAATTAATTTTCATACAGACTGACTTGTCATTACAAGACTGAGCAACACAGTTGTTAGGATTCAGAAAGAACAGGGTAAGAAGATCCTATCTGCTTCCTTTACTGACAAGCTAATTTCTGTTATTCATTAAACTTTCTAAACTAATACAACTACAAGACTGAACTGGATTTTTTTTCTGCTATAAAAAGAACTGTGAATTAGAGCTGTCAATTAACATAAAAGTGTAATATTAACATCTGCTACAGGTGGTAGTGAGCAAAGCACAGAAAATTTTGTGATACTCTCAGATCCCAGACTGAAGCTCCAGACCACAGTACAGAATTATTTAGATGTAAAATTAACCATCATAGAGACAGAACGTGCAACATTCATTCTCATATAGCTACTGTGCAGCACGTTATTAAAAAAAAAAAAACTAAAAAAGCCTGCATGTGTCCTTGATACTGCAGACCATAAAATCTTTTAAAGTAAGTGAATGATCCTAATATACATCAACTGCAGTCTCAGATCACATGTGCCAGACATAGCAAGAGCTGCATCAGAAGAGTAAAAACTGCACAATCTTGCAGGATATTGAGGTGGATCTATCTGCAGCTGCTAGGGGAAGGGAGAAGAAAACCCCTCCCTTGATCTCAGCTTAACATAAGGCACTTTGTTTGGTTAGGAACAGATTGAAAACCGGTGTTCTACAGTCTGTGGACCACTGGAGGTCTCTTCAAACAAAAAGTCTGCAAAAGGTAGTTGAGAAGCAAGCTTGTTGTCTGAAGACTTCAGTTCTCTTTACAGGAATTACATCTTTTTTAGGTAGGTGGTGAATTGATAGGGGTTGAAAAGAACCCTGATCTCTTATCAAGAACTTCCACACGGAAAAAGTATAAATAAATCCATCACACCTGGTGTGCTAGGTGAGCCCCTGTGGCAGCCACAGCTGAGTAATATGGGAACGTCTGGTTACAATTCATTCCTGCCATGCACAAACTCAGGAGCATTGCAAGGCTGAAGCCACTGAGCCACTGTTTCGTATCCTCCTTGAACTGTAATGCTGTTGACTTCACACCAATAATGATGTCATCCCTCTTATCCTACAATGAAAGGATGAATTAGCAAAAAAATCCACAGTCCAACTGCTGCTTCCTAAGGAAAACAAGACAGGGGGCTTAAGTTTCCAATGCTTCTTATTAGGAACCCAATTTAAGGGCATTTATAAGTCCCTATATTAAAATTTAAATCAGAAGGTTGGTCCTTACAGCTGCTTTAGCAGCCGAGAGCTAATACCAACATCAAAGTTATTTACACAACGTAAATGCAAACGTGTAAGCACACAAAGTGCATTATACTTCCAGCTTTCTACCTGATAGGTAAAACATTTGCAAACAACAACAGTGCTAGGGCTGGAGTTTCTTTGGTGCCGGTTTAGCTCATCAGAGAGTGAAGAACCACAACAGGTTAGTACTGCTGTTTGACAACGAAGTTGTAAATTAAACACACAAACATACACAGATACCTAAAATTTCCCAGTGTTACTCTACCTGATGTGCGTAAATGGTGTCATATACCAGCGTCCACATTACTCCAGCAAAGTACAAGGGCAAACACACAGACCACTCGCATGACCCTTTGATGGCAGACCAGCCAAGAAGGGCTCCCCAATTAAATGTGAGTCCTAAAAACATGAAGAGAAAGAAAAAAAGTTACAAGATTGCCAGGCACAATCTAAATTACATGCATAGAATTAGACAGTATTTGTTCAAGTGTATATCATCAGCAGCTTTTTGTACAATACTGGCACCTCTATTTTTCTACCACTTATTTTCAGGCAGGTAATAAATAGAAGTATTTTGACATTAAATACTCTGGACATACAAGGAGAAATACGTACAGCCATGCATTTTTCTCCAGTCTAAATGTGACTTCATGAGCATAGGGAAACATTTGCACAGAACTATTCCAGTGTACTCAAACAACAGGTCTAAAGTTAACAGGCTTAGATGTCAGTATAATGGAAGATGTCAGTATAACTGACTGCAAAAGAGTGCACCACAGCCAACTATGGTACTTCAAGGCTGAAAACTAAAATTTTGGTTGAAAAAGCTGAAGGCAGCTGGAACGTGAAGACCAAGATACAAATATATGTTTTAGTAGTTCAGCCTGAAATACAAGCACCATCAGTTTCTGCACAGGAGTTATTTTAGAGGTTGAAGACTGAAATGCAGGACAAATGCATGTTTAAGAAAGGTTTTTGGATAATCCCAAAACTAGAGCTGATTCTCAAATGACAAATATTTATTTTCTCCCTCCCTTCCTCCCTCCCCTCACTCTGTCAAAATAAGGAACTGATTTTTAACAAAAAAAACCCAAAACCGAACATCAACTCTTATACGCATTAAACATTGTTTAAGAAGCTTCTGGCACAACAGAACTTTGTATATAAGGTATTTTTATTTTAATATAGTTATAAAAAAACCCAGATTGCTCAAGTTCAATTACTAATTTGTAAAACACCGCAAAAACTACATCTGAAGAAAAAAATAGTAAAAAATATTTCCAGCTCACCCAAAACTAACTGTGGCCAATATGTTATTCTCTTCATCAAAGGGTAGGTGATCACAAGGGACAAAGAGGCTGCTCCCAGAATGATACTGTAAAAAGTACCAACAGGTTTATTGTTTGCCAGTCTAAAGATCACAAGATATAGTGCAGCATTACAGGAGCTGTACATAGTACTGAACTAATTCATTTACTTTCAAATACAATTCCATGACTAATAACCTACTCCCTCTGCCCTCAACACCTTTTCTGCTGAAAATCTCTGTGCTTAACTTTGGATTTGGAATCAAATTTTAAAAAACAAAAGGTAACTTATACATCACCTATAGTAATTGAGACACAGAAGCACACAAAGCGCCAAGCTAAGCTGTCCCCCAAGAAAAACGAAGGACTGAAAAGTGGAAATATCTCCAGCTGCCAGAGGCCTACTCGCTGTCCTCACAACCTAAAAATTGAAAGAATAATGTTAATACCAAATCCAACATAACACATTACAATGAATCTTAAAAGTCACACCGTTGGCATAGAAGCGGAAAAATAAACAGAAACAGGTCACAGAACATATGAAATGGGGTTCCTTCAACAATACAACCCTAGCATGTATCATCATGGGCATGAGCTATATGTCTAAGCAGCAGTGCTTATAATAGAAGTATGCAGGCTTTAAAAACTAGAGCAGAAATAAAGTCCTACTCATGTGCAATAAGGCTAATTAGAAACACTGTAAACATCTTATATATTAATTTTATTATCTTAGGAAAAAATAAAAATCAGACTTCGAAAGTTGTGAGCTAACTATCCCAATTTCCAGCAGCACTTCTGTTCTTCAATGTTTAAAGTGAATACCATATAAAATACTGTAAAGATGGAGAGCTCCTCTAGCATTGTTAATAACCATTGCTACTACACGTGTACATATTACATATGTGTATTACACATAACCATTGTTAATAACTGTGAAAAGAAAATTAATTTAAAACTAGACAGGATACAATGGAGTTTAGAAACTCTGGAAAAAAGAACTCATACAAGGCAAACTGAAGGAATAAACAAATATCAGAAAGAAGTTAAACTGAAATGTATGGTGATTTACTTGCCAAAGGTGACCATTCCAAAAAGAAAAAAAAAAAAAAAAAAAAGCAACAGTTTTACATGTTGATGAAAATGATGTAAAATCTATTCAAAGACGTTCAAAAGCCAACATTTTAAAGAATACTGTGTATGCATTAAGTGTTCCGCATATGCTTTAATAATGTGAATTTAAATAAATTATTTTAGTTTGTTCTCCCCTCCCAATCAGGTTATGATAAAGGTCAAATATTGCTTTTGCAGTTTGAACATGCACTTGGGAGAGATCCTTTTAAGGTATGCAAGAGAGCTGTGACGGGAATTCGGGAATTTTTAAAACTTTACATCTAACTGATCTGAGGAAACATTAACCCAACACCACCCCCCCCCCCCCCCCTTCAGGGGATGCTCACCAGATGGCCTCCACCAAAGGATGGTAACTCCTTTGCAATGGAGTGAAAGAATGGAGTGAAAGAAAACCAGGATGGGCCATATGATGGCTCATATCAAAGGACGGTAGCCCCCTTTTGATTGAATGAGAAAGAGACAGCACGGGCCATCTCTTGTACCTTGTCCTTGAGATAAGAAAGAAACTAAAACTACTGAGCCATGAAGACAAAGGTGCTGCAAATTAGCCCAGATCTGAGGGACAAGGTGTAAGTGACTACAGGACTGAGTCTGTGCAGAAGTAAGGGTCAGCTAGCGAACACAGTGAAGAAGACTACGAGCCTTCAACTGAAGACCCTGCCCACGGCCACCAGGCAGCACTGCGCAAGCGCGACAGCAGGAATCTGGGGTGGGGGGACATGTTAATGATTTATCAGAACTGATTGTAATATTCCCTCCCTATTCTCGGGATTGTGATGCATATGTATTAGGGTAGATGAGTATGTAACGTTTTATACAATAAAAGGGAGCCCCTTTTGGCTCAAGGCAGCGCATGCTTTTGGAGAAACGATTCCCCCCTGTGCCCAGTGCTGAATAAACATACCTACTTTATAACCTTACTGGTTGTAAAGTCGTGATTCCGCACGTCATAACCACATCACATCAATGTATAAATAAATTCATTATATTGAAAATTCCATCTTGCTAATCACACAGATCACCCTGACAAATATTTCTAGTATATGTTGTTAATAACATCTGAACCCTAAACCACCCAAAGCTGCCACAAAAACTGTACTTTCTCACTGCCTTCCTGACACCACAAATCCAACAGTGCTGTAAGGATTTCACGGATCAGGTTGGCTCATTATCCTGCCTCTTGCCAGCGCCGGAACAATACAGGAACAGAAAAGAGGACAAGCAAGCAGCCATGCATCACCACAGTACTCCCCTCCAAACCTGCACCTGCACATATTTCAACATCTGACACTGGGCACTGTCTTTTACTTATTTCCCTCTTCTGCACAAAAGGGAGATGAAAAACACAGTGTAATAGAAGAGGATTAGCTCAGGGTTGGGCACGGCATCTTTAACAGCCGTTCTCATGAAGAAACTAACCATAATAAAGGAACCCTTGTTCCTGAAAAGGAAGAAGAAAGAAAAAGAAAAAAAGCAATTCTTGAGCAGATCGTAACTAGCAAGTGTAGCAAAAAAAAAGTGTTATTTTGGTCTGGCATGCAAAACAAAGTTGAAAAATAAACTTGTTAAAGTACTACCTACAGCTGGCAACAACACGTGTTTTATCTTTGACAGAGGTAAGTACTCTATAACACTTTTTACAGTTCTGGGCAGAGAAGTGTTGTACAAAATAAAATTATACTACTCTAGGAGGAAACGTAGACCAATTAACTGGACGCATCTCAGCCAGAAAGACAGAGGAATTTCTGCAGCGTGCACTCAGCGAGTTAATTAACCTGGGTCTTGGCGAGCCCACTCGGGTTCCTCTACCTTTCTGTCATAGTCACGGTCCCACATGTCATTGATGGTGCAGCCGGCCCCACGCATGAGCACCGCTCCCACGCCGAAGAGGGACAGCATGTGCCAGTCGGGGAGGCAGCCCGGCTCGGCCGCCAAGCCGATGCTCCAGGTGCACGGCAGGTACAGCAGCCACGTCCCTGAGGGAAGGCAAAACCCGCGGGTGGGGTGAGGAGAGAAACACGGGTGGGCGGTGGGGGGGGGTGTGGCGGTGATGCATCGCCGAGCAGACAACTTCGGCAAAACCAACCGCCCGCCCGACGCGAGGGTGCGTGTGGGCGGCGATGGGTGCCCCCCCCCCCCCCGCAGCCCCTCCCCGCTCACCGGCGGGCTGGTGCAGCCGCATGAGGCGCAGGTAGGGCCGCAGCGGGCTCGGCGCGGCACGCACCAGCTCGGCCGCGGAAAAGCCGAGCGGCCGCGGAGCTCCCGCAGGCGCGGAGGGGCGGCGCAGCGGCGGGACGGCGGCCGGCGGAAAGCGGGAGGCGCGGACACCGACGGCGACGACCCCCCCGCCCAGCCGCCTCAGCAGCGCCGCCATGTTGGCCGGGGGGCGGCGCCGCGCATGCGCAGCCTACCCGCCCGCCGGGGCCCACAGAGCGGGAGCGAACGGTGCGGTGTGCGCCTCACTCCGGGGCAACGGGGACGGGGGCGAGGAGGGGCCCGATGGCAAAACAACGGGGTGCATGGATTGAATAACTTCTGTAAGCTACAGCTACCGACCCTCAGCACCTCCCTAACAGCGTGTGTGCTGCTTTTACCACTGAATTTTCTCAAAGTCTTCCCGTGCTGTTGGTTGAAATCCCGGAGGTGGCTCTGTATCGAACACTGTCATCAAGTGTTCGATGCATCGACATAGGTCTTGAGGCGCGGAATCACGACTTTACAACCAGTAAGGTTATAAAGTAGGTATGTTTATTCAGCACTGGGCACAGGGGGGAATCGTTTCTCCAAAAGCATGCGCTGCCTTGAGCCAAAAGGGGCTCCCTTTTATTGTATAAAACGTTACATACTCATCTACCCTAATACATATGCATCACAATCCCGAGAATAGGGAGGGAATATTACAATCAGTTCTGATAAATCATTAACATGTCCCCCCACCCCAGATTCCTGCTGTCGCGCTTGCGCAGTGCTGCCTGGTGGCCGTGGGCAGGGCCTTCAGTTGAAGGCTCGTAGTCTTCTTCACTGTGTTCGCTAGCTGACCCTTACTTCTGCACAGACTCAGTCCTGTAGTCACTTACACCTTGTCCCTCAGATCTGGGCTAATTTGCAGCACCTTTGTCTTTATGGCTCAGTAGTTTTAGTTTCTTTCTTATCTCAAGGACAAGAGATATCAGAGATGCCCATCCTGTCTTCCTTCCATTCAATCAAATGGGAGTTACCCTCCTTTGATATGGACCATCAATGGCTCATCTTGTTCTTTCTCATTCCACTGCAAAGGAGTTACCATCCTTTGATAGATGGAGGCCACCTGGTGAGCATCCCCTGAAGGGGGGGGTATCAGGTTAGTGTTTCCTCAGATCAGTCTCATCTCCCAAATCTTTCCAGGCTAATTAATAAAAACATACGATACAATGTACGGCCTTTGGATCTCTGTTTTCATTCACTCAGTTCTCCCACCGTCTTAATGCGAGTTACTGCATAAACTGGGGAGGGAGGAGAGCTTTAGACAGCCGCAAAAACGTCTTGCATGGCATGGTTTTACTGATAAAATATTCCCAGATTTGCTGCTGAAAGATTTATTGGAGAATTCAGTGTCCCTGCAGTGTATAATTTCTGTCTCATTCTACACTTGCTTCAGCTTGAATGACTGACGCACAAAAAACAAGGGAAACCATTTTGAACTTTAATTTCCAAAAATGTTGACTACCAGGAGGAAGTAAAACAGTGTGATGGAGAAGTGATTTCACATTTTTCCATTCACTGTTTTCATGAGCACTACTTCAGTAAAATGATTTACACAGGACCGTGAAAAAACCCCACAGTTGCTCAACTCTGGTGAAGTGAAACTGATTTTTTTTTTTTTTTTTTTGCTGACCTTGGCTGTGTTTCTGCTGACAGAGTCAGTGATCACAGGCTTTATTCAGGTATGGATGAATTCCCAAGGCATGTTTGAAGAGTGAATCCTGGAGGGCAGCAAGTGTGTCCTGCCGCCATGCATCCGCAGCCTCTCTGCCTGCTGTGTCCACAGGAACTTTGAAACTCTGATTTTCACCAGGTGGGTGCTCCTGTGCAGGCACTGTGAGCATTGGTTTGTTTTGTTTTTTTTTAATGTGTGATGTGGTGAGCAAGCCCTGGACTATCTGCAGACAGTTTTTAAGGAGCTCATGAACGTAAAGCAGAAAAGCAAACTTACTGTCACTAGATTTATTTTCATTATAAGGTGACCTGGCCCCTCACTGAAAAAAAATCTAGGGAATAGCACATTTCGGACTTTGAAAAATCACCAAAAGCTATTAAGGCACCATGGGCTTGGTGATGGTAAAAGTGTCACTGATTTTAAGGAGATTATCAGTTACTGTATTTTCACATACATTAAGTGATCCCCTATACAAAGGTCTCATGATGCGACTTACTCCACCTTCCAGGAACTGACTTAGAGTAAATACAAGGTGAGTAATCCGAGGTCCAGAATTAAATATGCAAAAGTAAATTGGAACTTGTGTAAGATACAATCGTTGTTCCTGGTCTCAGATAAGTGTGTGTGCGTGTGTGTGTGTGTGTGTGTGTGTATAAATATTGACATTAAAGGTCAAGTCTCCAAGGTTTACAACATTCACAGAGATAAAAAACAAGAAGCCCACCCTGGAGATAAGGTGCCCGTGGGGCAGGCACTGCTGCTGCAGACGGGTCCTGCGAGGGCTCTGCTTCTGACCCTACCTGTCCCCGTGTGCTGGGATCCAGCGTCTTGTTCTCTACGCTCCTCCCCACCGTGTTGTTTGCACAGAGCTAACAGTAGCTAGCAGCTTAATATACAACACTTTGTAAAGAGAAGTCATTTGGGTGTGTGTAGAGCTTTTTTGGGTTAGAAGTGGCTACATGAGCTGTAAGCCATACCTCTCGCCACCCTGCCGTACGAAGAACCAGGCCGTGCGCTCGGAGGACAAGACGTGGCCGGGAGATGAAGGCAGAGCTGCTGTCATTTGCACGCCCAGACATCCCTGCACCCCTCCAAGCAATCCCTGCGTGTCCCTCATCAGCCCGGGTGCTGCGTCTGAGACAGGCTGCCGGGTGGAGGGCTTCGGAACCGGCGGTCAGCTACAACTGAAACACACCCACCTGGACGTGATTTCATTGATTTTTTTGTTTACTTGGGTAGTCTTGTTGGGAATCGTAGAAAGCGCAGATGATGCATGACCAAGGGAAATTTAGGGAGTCTCGTGGTGTCAGTATGCCAAAAAGGAGTCTTTAAAAAAAAAAAAAAAAAAGATCGCCAAAAGCTGGTATAAATCAATTTAATTAAAATCTTCAAATATAAAAGTCACAAGCATTGGCATAAACAAAACTGTTAGAAAAGTTCTAAAAAGAAGCTACCAGGCAAACAATCATTTAGATGTCTTAGTTGTAACTTATATTATTGTAGTAATAATATATATTATTAACTTTACACTGATTGTATGCAAGACTTTGCACTCCATTTTACACTCTCTTCTTTTATTGAACTTGGACAATATAAACAAATTTAGCCTTCCTTATTGTCATTTCTGATCTGGATTGCCCTCTGGTACATAACCCTTCACAGAACGCATCTGGATTGTGAATGCAAACACTCCTTTGACACGCTGAACTTAAATATAACCTTTTTTATTGTGCAATTTTTCATCACAGCTTCAAAAGTACATGTTTTTGAAGTCAGCTTGTTAAAAAACGTCCTCTCCCCCCTTGCCTTGTGTTGAAACCCCACATAGCTTGTAGCATCCTTATAAAGCTTAAAAAGGGAAATAGAGTGATGTGGTATTGTTGTTTACCCCTGCTGTGCTTAAAATACCGTAAGGTGTTGACAGTGGCATGACGTATATCTTCAAGAAAAGCAAATGCAAATAAACAGGCGTGGGAGACGAAAAGTATTCTCCTAGGCGTTGTGCAGCCCGGCAGCCCGTGTGCCAGAGGAAAGCGGCCGGCGGCACACCGAATTCGCAGCAGGGCACGCACGGGGAAGGCACGGCCACGGAGAAAAGCCACCGCCAGCACAGATTTCTGGCCAAAACGGCGGTTTCCCCAGCAGGCGGGATGTCAGCCTGTCTGGGTAGGTTTGTCCCCAAGAAGCTCTAAGGCCACTGACCTCCCTCTGATGGTCGAGGGGTGGGTGGTTTGCTGAGACTCTTCACTGTCCCGTTTCCCTGAGGACAAAAAAAGGCCCTGAGCGATTTAGGGAGCGTAAAGCAGAGCTTCCCCTGCGGACAGGGTCAGGGATGTCCTTTCCAGCTGAACCGCCTGCGGGGTGATGAAGGTTGGGAGCCCTCACCATGCAGCCCACTGACCACGGAGGGTTTGCCAGGGCACTAGTGGGCTCCTCTCCTTTCCTCCCGGGGATGAAGCATGCAAGGGGAGAGGCAGACCACTCTGCAGGAACGCGTGTCAAAAACTCGCCTTTGGAAAGGACGTGGCCACAGCTCCATCTTGTGACTGAACTCTCCTAGCTTGGGAAAAACGCCCGGTGCTGCCCCAAATCCCGTGGAGGTTTCTCGGCAGGGCATTTTCCCCCGAAGGCACCCTGACCTCGGTTTGCTTTGCACGCCCACGCTTTCCACCCTGAGATGCCCTCGGCAACCACAACCTTTCCTCGGGCTTCCCCCACACAGCGCAGGCAAAATCACAGCTGTGCAGCTAAAATGAAAACCCTTCTGAAGGCAAGATTTTGCAGGAACTGCCTAAGAGCTGTGCTTGCAGAAACGAGAGGTTGGAGGGGAGGTTGGAGTTACCGCCTGGCAGAGCTGATGCAGCTCCGTGCCCAAGCGCAGCGATCCGGGCTGGACAGACAGCAAAACCAGGCCCTGCCTGAGCTTGCTCTACCTGGATAATTCCCCCAGGAGCTTAACGAGCATCTTTCAGGTACGAATCCCCAGCGGGGACGGGTGTCTCAGCGCGGATCGCGCGGTGCTGCGTGGGGAAAAGTGGCCTCAAACAGCAGCGGGAAGGCCCCGGCCGCGCCTGCTGAGGGGAGGGGACCCTGTGCTGGGGGAACTGAGGAGATCTTGTTCTGGAGGGACCTTTTTTTTTTTTTTTGTTTTATGCAAGGAAGTAGAAAACATGGGGGTCGGAACTAGATGATCTTTAAGGTCCCTTCCAACCCGAACTGTTCTACGATTCTATGTCTTCCCCAGCCCACAGATCATGCCGGTGCTGCCAGAATTAAATCTCATGGTAGAAACGTTAATTTCTAGGATTAAACTTCCCTGCTAGCCAAGGGCTTTACATTTATCGTGTGCATGTGTATTAACCATTTAAATGCAAGCAATAGCTTTGGCATTTTTGATAACATAAAAGCCGTAAGAGAAGGCTGGAAAGCCGAGTATGCTGCCGGGACCAAGGGGTTTTTCGATAAGCTCTGGCAGCGTTTTGTCATCCACCATCCGTAGCACGCGGCCGTTCAGCTCAATAGACCTGGAGAAGGACAGAGAGACTATTTGGGCAGCTGTGCTCTGTTTGCCATAGAGCACAAACAACTCTGGACCTGAGTGTAAACATCTCAGCCCAAAGCCAAATTAAGCTTCCCTTGAGGGTTTATGTGTGCACACACAGAGAGCATCTGCTGCCCTCCCTCTGCAAGGACTCCTTTAGAAGCATAGCACAAGAAAGTTGCAAGTACATGTTTCTTACTCTTCCAGTGAGGTTAACAGGCTCTGAAAAGCACAATTTTTAATTGTTTGTTCTCCTGCAAATACTAAGCTATCTTCTATGCCCACAGAGCAGTTCCTTCCTGTGCTGATGCATTAACAACAACAACAGAACACCAACAACATATTCTGTTGTAACAACAACAACAACAACATATTCTGTGTAACAACAACAGAAACCATACAAAGCCTGAACGCATTGCTGTTAATCAGGAGCCAGCACTTGGGAAAGCAATATACCTATGCTTGTGCAAAGAAAAAGGACTTTAGCAGCTGGTCCAGAGCCCTGAAGCCTGCTAGGAAAAAGCTTCCCGATTAACATCAGTGTCCTTATACCTTAAGCAAGCTTTCAGCATCCTGATTCAAGGAGACCTGATTTAACACAAGTCCCACTTTACTGCAAAATACCCCAGGTGACTGAATACAACCTCTATCCCCACGCCCCACCTCCTACCTTGCAAATTGAACAAGGTGAGGTTTTAGAGGCCATCTGACTACTCACAATCCTTTCTAGAGAGACAGGAGGAATTGCACACTTACCTGGAAAGTATATTCTCTTTACCGTGAGGCAGTAAGAGGTACTGATCCACATGTTTGCTTGATAGGTAATTAGGTAGCTGCAGATGTTGGGTAACGTTGTAGAGGTTTAAGGCAAACAGTGTCACATCCCCTTCTCTGTACTTTGGGCTGCAAGGCAAGAGAAGAAGCTGGGGACTGGGAGAGAAAGAGGTTTCACAGAAATAAAGTGCGTCTTCACGCTGTCCCAGATTGCTTTTGTTGGCCTGGGGGTGGCCACGGGCTCAGTTTTGCCCTTTCTCGAGGCTTACTGGAGGGTGTTCGTGCAGTGGAGGTAGACGCGGAGCTTCCTCTCGTCCGCTCCTGTCAGGCCAACCTGCAGCACCTTGGTACCCACCAGCTTCTTGTAGAGCAGCGAGAGCCAGTAGTCCTGGGAGGCACAAAACCACACATAAACACTTGTGTACACGCCAGGTATTCCACACGGTGCTTAATGTAATGTTCATTTTTGGTGGTAATTTCAGGGGGGGGTTCACCACAATTTTTTGCTTTATGAAGTTTTTTCACCATATCTATTTACATTCCCAGAAACAGCATGGGTAAAGAGAAAACCCTGCCTCCACACTGCAGAACAGCTGTGTTTACAAGGTACCTTAGAGTAATTTTCCTTGTCATATACAAATCTCTGGTGAGGGAGAGAGTGTTTTCTCTGTAGGGTACAGAGCAGCTCAGGGCTGAACCCTCAGGGGGATGAGCTACCCTTACTGCAGGAAAGCCTCTGACCAATCTACTGGTACAACTCTGGGAAGAAGCCCCCAATAACTTCCATGCCTTTCACTAACATCTTGCTTTTGAACAGGTTTCAGGATTAATTTCTGAATGCCAGTCAAGAGTAAATGCTCTGACCTGAAGCCCCAGTATGACGCCTGAGAGCAGGGTGATGCTCAGTGTGGACTCATTTTTTTCAGGTGTGCTCTTCCTTGCATCTCGACTGCTACTTTTCCTCTATGACGTCCATGACTGCACCAAAGAGAGCGCGCAGTCTGTGCAGATGTGTGTTGGGACTAGGAGGCCACAGGCAGGCTGCATTTTCCAGCTTTGCTTCTTTGAGCACAGCCCCAGGGGAGGATGTGCTCCTGCTGGCAGGTTTCAGAAAGCTACTCCCTGCTCCTCTGTCTGTCTTTGAGGTTTTCCTAGAAGAGAAACTTGTGTTTCTCTCCTGACTCACCAAAAGTGGGGGGAAGTGACTCTTCCTATGCTCCCCTTTGCAAGGAGGTGCAGCCTTGCGGCACTGCTGTGCTGCTTCTTTTCCAAGCTAACCGAAAGTGATGGGCCTGGGTTTGGATTTCCCTGCCTCTAAAGTGTTACTAGCTTCATTACCATCTGTACTGCCCGTAGGTGAGGAACAAGACACATTCTTTCAGTCCAAAGTAAATCGATTTTAAATGAGAGAATAAAAAGCCCAAAGCAACAAGCCTGACAGCACGGCCCCTGGCACAGCGATTAGCTGAACAGGCAGGACAGAAAACCCCTGTATGCTGGGTTTCCTCTCAGAGGGTCTCTGTGAGCCTGTGAAAATCACATCTTGGAACCAGAAAAATGAGAGGAAAGCAAAAAAGATAGATGCTCTCCTCTCATCCTGAAGTAAGTGCTACTAAAACAAAGAAACATGCCGTACAAGCAAGAATAACATCTAGTTCAATTAATGATGTTTCATCGCAGCAGAACGTTATCTCCTAATAAACTGAACTATACTAAATGCATGTTTTTGTTTAATTATCCTTCAGCCACTACTGAAGGCTAAATATGCTCATGGCCTAAGAGATGCTTGAGTCTTGACTTCATGTTGGTTTGGTTTTGACTTGGGGTAGCATTTATTATAATACCTCATATCACTTTTGTTTAAAAGCTACTCATCACTCAGCTGAGGAAAACTCAAACCAAAACAGTCCATGAAGAAGACCCTTGTGAACTCCAGAAGTGTCTACATACAAATCAGATCATCATGTCCCACAAATCAGTCTCTGCTGTGCTGAAGGCTAGCTGCATCCCTGCAGTTGCAGTAAATATCTTGTATCTACATATATATATCTCTATAATTCATGAACCCATAATGAAACCTGAGCTAACTGTAGGTGCAAGGATAACTGCAACCATCTTACAAAATCTCTTGCTATCTTGTGTTGTTAAAATAGCTGACTTGTAGCTCCACACCCAGTATTGCCTGTGCAGAAATACACGCAGCATTCAGATGGTGTTAGCAGGGTTGCATACGTACCGGCAAAGGCTCAAAGTTGGCATCCACCAGGTGGTAGGTCCCTGCCCCGAAGAAAACCTGTCTCATCACCACCTCAATCCCCTGCCTGGCCGAAAGCCCGAGTTTGTCCAACCACCTGCCAAAAAACGAGGCAAACAACATGCAGATGAAATTGCTGACCTCCGCTGCGCACCATCGCTCCTCTCCAACCAGCTCGGGAAGTAGGAAAGCAAGAATTAGGGCATGATGCTGACTTCCTTAAAGCCACCCGACTCATTTCAATTCAAGCCTTGCACTGGTGACCTTAAAAAATAATTTCAGACCACCTCTGGAGGTCTGAGTTGGCGGGAACAGTTGCTCCACTTCCCTGTTTGCAGGTGGTGGAAACTGGGAGTAGCAGCAGATGCTCCTGAACTGGCCAAGGGCCTGAAGGCCGACAGGGATCATCACACCCAGGTTTCCTGCCATTATCAGGCTTTGACTTCCTGACCCACAGGGCCCTGATGAAAAGATCATCGTGCCTTATACGAGGAAAAAAAATACATTGCAACCATGTTTTGTGTTAATTTTCAAAGAGTGAACCGCACATTCCCATGCAATTTTATCTCCCTGAATCTACAAACTGATCAAAGTGCTAAGAAAATCCTCAGTTCTTTTATTTCAACAAAATTCTACAACTGGAGTCTTTGGAGAAAATTATTTTCACGACTAAATTTTCCTTTTGTTAGTTATTACATGGTGGCCAAAGGATGACGTTGGAAAAGGACACCCATCTTATGAATGACTTTCCATCCTCACTAAAGGACAGAGTTATCATTGCAGATTTGAGGGCAGAAATACAACTTGCTCATGCTTCTCATCCCCCATTTCCCGTAGGAATCTGCGATTTCCTGGACCTACACTGAACCTCAGGCACTGGGGAAGGAGACAGAGAGTGGCGGGAAGGCTGCGATCCTCAACCCCCTCCCTGTTCAGGTGGTAAAATGTGTAATTTACTTACACCTGTGACATGGTACTCACATAAAGCCGGCAACATAAGTGTTGGACAGCCTGGGGGCTCCCCCTCCATAGGCAGAGCTCGTCTCTCCTAGCCAGACCTTCTTGTTGGGCACGGTCCCACCAACAATCTGGCCGGTGTAGCATTGGGAAGAAGAGAAAGAGACAACTGTTAAGTTTTTTGGCTCCTGAAATAATAGGCAATCAAAATTTTGTGCTTTAGCCAAACGGCTACATACAACATTTGCATTTAAGGGATAACACCAGTTGAGGTGGGATGTCACAGAAATTTTGATCAAAAGGACTAGAAGCAGATTTACCTCCCCTCCCTCCAAAAAATCACATCTATGCATGTAGAATGAGGCAAACATCACTAAAAGCCAGGTCCTGTAAGTCTTCTCGGGCTAAGTAGTGGTATATTCTAAGTTATACTGTTCTCAGGATCTCAAAATACAAAGAAATTGTGGTGGGGAGTATGACCATAAATTGCATCCCTGGGTAATTTCTGCATTGATAAATGAGTGTTCGAGATCTGTGATGTACCTGGCACCATGCTTGCTACGTGGCAAACTATTGGAGTTTATTTATTAGTAGTATTTTTAATTTTTTTTTTTAATTTACAATGACAGCAGCACCCAAGCTTTGAGGATCGCTGTTGATTGCTAGTGAGAAATTGTACGTTATTCCAGATTCTCTGCTAAACCCCCTGGAAACTGAACATGGGAATGATTGAACAGGACGAAGCACCTCCAGGACTTCGTGTACAGCTGTGGCAAAGGTATCCAGCACTTCAGGGCTCAAAAAATCCTCCCTCGTTGCACTTCGTCCATTTACATAGTAACTGGAAATCGAAAAAAAAAAAATGCACAGCGAAAATTAAGGAAAAATACCACTGGTGCAAAACACCACCAAAAGTACTCAGTTGCTTACTATATTTCTCCACAGCACTACTTTTCTGTCCAGTGCTTTTTCTTTTTTTGTTTTCCAAATGTGTAGGTATGTTGTTTGCATTTAAGGGAGTACCAGGTATAATTACCTTGATGGAGGAAGGATATCACAGAAATTTTGGTCAACAGAAGTAGTAGGGGTTTTTTGCATCTGCTCATTTAGAATGAAGAAAACATCACTAAATAAGAGCCAGCTTCTGTAAATATTCTCTTGATGAGGAGTCTGACAGTCCTATGTGAATACTTGCTTTACTGTATCAAGTTATATATTAAAAATATCAGATCCCAGCTTCTGTCCCTTTATTGGAATATTTTGGCCATCTGGAGGGGAATGGGATGGAGGCATCCCTATGGGATGAAGGTTGCCCTCCACCATGAGCAGAAGAGCTTTTAAGTCTAGTTTATCCAAATAATGGGAAATTGGGACCCCTGTGGTTTTTTTGCATTTCATCACGCTATCATTCAGTCCTAGCAGAAGTAGCTGAAGTCTTCTAGCCACAAGAGGAAGCTAAAACCTGATAATCCTAAATTAGTAAAGAAAATAGCACATGCCCATTTAAAGCAAAGGCAGCCACAGGGCAAGAACAGCCCAGGAAGAGGGGAAGACATGTTTTATGCCCTACTAGCAGTTCAAAATACATAGATAAGTCATCTATGCATATACATACATACATACATAAATAAATATATATATATATATAAATACAAGCATGTGCATCTTTTCCCACTGTTACCTGACTGCTGCATGTCACTGTGCTGCATTTGACTCCAGAAAGAAAACCACCTTCACATGGAAATCACTTTTCAAACACGTGGCGTTCATGAGAGGGGCCCTGGGGCCAACCTACCCCACTGCCCACCCAAGCACCTTGAAACCGCATCTCTAAGCCACGGCACAAGAGCGAAGGGCTGAGACTGTGCCGGTGCTGTCTGCACCGTGGGTGGGATCTGAGGGCAAGCTGCCCACAGACAGCCCCAACTCGCGTGGAGAGCAGATGTAAGGGAGCAGGGGAAGGTATCACTTCTTTATGGGTAAGGCTCAGCCAGACCTGCAGGGCTTTTTGTTTATATCAGACACAAACAGAGAAAAAAAGGCCACGTGCGGAGCCTCAGCTGACAAGGCTTCTGCTGCATTTTTTTTTACAAGGCTGCATTTGCCGGCAGGGTCATCAGTGACTCCCTGAATTCGCTTTTAGGGAGCAAAGATTTCACTCAAGCAGATTCAGCCTTTCTAATGCCAAGGAGAGAGACAGCGTCAGGGGTATTGACTCCTTCAAAGCCCAGCCACCCGTGGGTTGTTTAAAACTTTCTGTTAAAAACCTCCTGCTCTTGCAGAAGTTCAACTCTGTTGAGTAAGTCTGAGCTACCTTCTCTTCCTTTTATATGACACCCCCTTCTTCCCGTGGGAAAATGCATTTTATTTGCAAGGGTTGGCAGCTTGGAGCTTTGAGGCAATTGGGACTGCTGCTCAGATCTCACCAGCTTTTGGTACATGTTGAAACACAGCATATGCAAAAAGGCTCAACTGCTGCAGGAACTCTCCTTGTGTGGGGGACAGCCATGACCTAACCCCCATCATGCTCTTCTGAGAAATAAAGCTGCCGTGACATCTTTTTCTTCACATCCTACTTCTGTTTTTCTCAGTGCACATATTTAGCAAGCAAAATGACCGTCTTGCACACGTTGCATTCCCCACTGCTGTGCCTACGTTACAAACGCCCGCCACTGCTCTTGGGTCTCTTTGGAGAGCTTCTGCATTTCTGTAATGTGCCCCCACAATTAATCGCTTGTTCTGAGCAGAGGAGTTTGCAGAGATGCACCAGAGGAACTGCTGAAAGAGGAATTTCACCCCCTTCATCCTGTTGAAATGTTCAAAATGACATTTTGTAAAGAAAACAGGTGATAAGCAGCGTGACCGTGGTATCCGAGCGGTACTTACTGGTGCCACGTGACAGAGTCGATCGCCTTCCCTCCCGATTTCAGGAAGCTGCAACCAGAGGGGATGCAGTGGAGAGCGGGGGGTTAGCAGGTACTGGTGATGGGTTCTGGCCCCCCACGAGAGAGCTGCCACGCACAGCTCTTCCCCTCTCCCCCGGGCTGGCAGTAGTGAAGGGGAACTGCTCTGGGGCCACGTTTTTGACGGCTTTTCAACGGGCTTTGGGCAGCCCGGCCGCCTCAGTGGGTTGCTGGGAGGATGAATTAATGCTTGTGTAACAAGTGGAGATTTTGAGGGTGGAAAGGCCTTGTTAGCACAGCACTAGAGCCAGCGCCCAAGTGAAAGGTGTGCAGGTTGCTGAAGTACTGCTAGCATCTTGGTTTCAACTGAATGACTATTTAAGCCTTGAGCTCATGCACGCAGGTAAGATTTCAGTCATCCCCAGACAAGGGAAAAAAAAAAGTCCATGTTTGTAATTTAAGGAAAAATGCAGGAAATTAGTTCTCAAATAGACTGGATGTATCCGTTTGTACATCCTTACTATTGATTTGGAGCAGAAAAATCCTTACAAACCCATCCAGATGCCTCCTCATGGCCCCTGTATCTGGGAGCAGACGAGCCACCGCTACCCACACCCACCCACCCTGGGGGGTGCTGCCGGGGCCCCACACCCCTACCTTCTCAGCAGCCTCTGTGTGTGCTTTCGGGGCTGCCCAACGTCGGGACCGTAGAGTTTCGCGTGCTGGTAGAGGGTATAGTTACTCAGAAGTTGGCGTAAGTGAATAAAATCTTGCCCCAGCTGGAAGCCGTCGATGTAGATGCCAGATTTCTTCCGGAAGCTATTGGGCTCTGGGGGAGACACACACGCATCAGGACCCTGCTCTAGTTTCAGGGCACAAAATAGGGCAGCTCATTCCACGTGGGGAGTACCAGCCCCCCATGGCTTCACGTCATCTGGCACAGTACGGGGGAGATATTTGAAGGGGATGAGCATGAAACCGAAAGCCTGGGTGACGCAGCACCCTGCTTTCCAGAACCCTGTCCCAGCCGGTCTCCGTAGGTGACATCCTGCAGCTTGCAGGGCACTGTTCACCTCATTTCAGAGCCTTGGTAGGAGCAGCAAAATCATTTCCATTTGCTCATTCGTCGGGCCTGCTGCGGAATCCCTCCTCGCAAATTAAGACCTTAATGTTCCCAATATAACATCACCTTGCCTTTACAGCCTGTCATCCAAAACATCCAAAATTATCAGCCCGCACCCTGCGGTGGTGCCTTTCCAGGTGACCGCTGGCTCAGGCTTCGCGCTTACCGTTCCCGAGCTCCCAGGAGATGTTGTACCTCTGCAAGGAGCAGTAGTCCAGCAGCACCCGGGCGTTCGAGCTGTCCCACTGCAAGCCATCTTTCCGCAGCAAGGCGTTGAGCCCAAAGATCAGGTGAAACCCTGAGCAGTTTGCAAAGCTGTAGAGAATATCCAACGTATCTCCTGTGCGGAGGAGAAAGGCGGGGGATGTTTATCTCAAGGTTATGGTGTGCTAGCTGAGCTCTGGCCAAGCGACAATCTTTACTGCCTCTGTTTATTTAGCCTGGTGCTGCAGATGTGCCAAGCTCTCCCAGCTGGACAAAAGAGCCCAGACCATACTACACACCATCCTGCAAGTTGTTGAGATCCTCCCAACTCCTGCAGCAGCTGGCTACTGTTATATAGGAGGTGGCAGACAGTAGAACAAGATTTCTTAGAAGCATTTCACCCATGTAAAAAAACATTAATTTTCAGTGGTTTCAGCTCCTAACAGACTACAGTGCTTTTACTGTGGGGCAGAGATTTGCAGCCCCCTGATTATAAACTCTAGCAGAAAAAACAGTCAAAGTCTTACTTGTAATGGTGGTGTTTTTGTGTTTTTTCCAGTTATGCTCTGCAAGAATCAGCTTCTCCTGGCTGGGCCACTGGGCTAGCAGTAGCTTCTCAATGGCAGCAAACGCAGGCCGTGAGCCACAAGCCTCTGTAGGGCAGAAGGAGGATGACAGCAATTAAGTCCTTGTCTTCGTGGCCAGGGTCCAGCCTGCAAAGGGTCGCATCCCTCGGGAGGAAGCACAGCTGCTCGGTGCCAGGCTGAGCGCCAGTCGTGCGCTTCTGTGAAACAGACCCTTACTTTCACAGTGTTAACCACGTAGAAGAACAGGGCTGGCTTGATGCATAAAAATATATCATATATTTATATATAAAGTACCTTTCCCAGTTTGAGGTGATGGAGATGGTGGGGTACGGGAAGACTGAGCTGTGCTTCTAGGGGCAGGTATCATAGTAAACTATTATTTTAGCTGGAGCCCCCTCCCCTTGGAAACGCTCGTTCCAGCGAGCTGACCGAGCCCAGGCTGGGGTGCCCGGGCAGCAGATAAGCCACGCCGGCGTGCGGCAGGGCTTGCAGCCCGCCTTGCTGTGGGCAGATACGGGGCACGGCTTCCTGCGCTGCCCGCCTCGCGCCGGGCGAAGGGCTGGCTGCCCCGCGCGGCTCTGACGGCAACGGAGACACTTTTTCTTGGCATGCAATCCAGGAACAAGCCCTAACTGAGAGAGGAAGGCGTGGGTCGGAGTCGCAGCTACCCCAGAGAGGAGGCAGCCGCTCAGCAAAGCAGCACGGTGCGGGGGAAAAGTACCGCTTGACTTCAAAACCCCAGCACCACCGGTTGCACAGGGGTGCACGGTTGTGCTGTTGTGCTACATAGCACAGGGATAGATGGGAATTTTCTCATCTGAAACACTTCTAGAAGGGTTTGTGTGCTTTCGCTAAGTTTAAAGAGGAAATGGACTTCTGGGCAGTGGGAAAACCTCGTGCACCAAGACCGAGCTCGAGCAGTTGGCAGCGATCCGGTGGGTTTGCACTTGCCCTGCCAAGGCGACGGGAGAGCAAGGCTGTGCCCCCAGCCTAGCTCTGGCTTTGGCCAGGGTAGAGAGAATGGGCGCTCTGTTCTCATCAGATTATTTCTTCTATCTGTTACTTAATTTTCATAATGAAACCACAACTTCTGAGCTGACCTTGACCACCTCCCAGGCGGCAGCGGAGCTCCCAAGGCTGCTGTGGGCAGCACAGGGCAGCAAAAGGAACGTCCCAGCAGATGCTGGGGTGGACAGGAGATCCCCCTGTGCCCTTCCTCGCTTTCCCACGGCTGGCACAGCAACTCCTTCGGACCGTGCCGAAGGTCTGCAGATCTCCTCTCCATGGAGGAGAGCGATGCTGACCCCGTGGAGGATCCCCAGTGCTGCTGCCGTGCCTTGTGGCGTCCCCAGCCTGCACCCAAGCCACCTCTCAAACCAGGATGGTTTTGAGTCTAACACGCTGATGCACGTATTACCTTGCTGGGCCTGGAGTTCCCAGAGGATTTTTTCTTCTGAAGTTGAATCCTTGTAGGGATCAAAGATGAGGAAATCTGTCTCGGTGCCACCAAACCTCAGGAAGCCAGGAGACAGGGCCGTCGCCAGGGCACGCAGTTTGGGATTGCTGAGGGAGGGATGTCAAGAAACAGAAGAAAGGTGCAGACTATGGCTTTGGTGTACAGGCTAAACACAGCGAGTGCTCAGAGGGACGCGCTGCAGTAGGTAACCTGGGGCTACCCGGTAGCCTCACGGCACTCCTGACTCCTCACTGGACCTGTGTCCAGCCCTCTGCTGCCGGCCAAGCGGGCCAGGAGAGTGTCGGTGAGGCAGCGAGGGGGGATGTGCCCCAGGGAACACGCAAGGACAGACAGTCAAATCCTGGGGGCAAAGTAAGGCAATACTTCAAAACACGTATATTCTTTGGTCTTAAGCATCCTTCTCCCCTAGATTTTTTGGTTTTGATTATACAGAACGAGCATACCAGTCCCGTGAGAAGGTGGACGTAAAACCGATTTTACACCGTCAGTCCCAATTTCCATCAACAACAGCCAAAGCGATCGCTTTTGTCCCCGAGAGAGAGTCAGGGTCCGTGCCGGGACAAGCGTTAGCTTTAGTGAAGCAGGCTTCTACAATAACACCAGGTCTGCCTCGGCGACTGGCGCACACCCCACGCAGGACGTGCCGCACCAGCACCCAGCCTTTGCTGGGGGAAACCGCGGGGCAGCGGAGGATGCTGGCGCACGGGCGCTACCTGCTCGGGGCTCGGGGGGGGACACGCAGCAGATTCGAGGCCACCAAGTGCTTCCCGCTCCCCGCCGGGCCAGCCCCCGACTGAACCCTGAGGTGTGTGGTTGGGGACCCCAGCACTTTCCAAGAAAGCTGGTGGCACCTTTCTCCCCACCTTGGTGAGGGAGGAAACGATGAAAGTGGTGGGAGGAAGGAAATCAGGACTGGACAAATACCGTGGGGGCTCAAGAATGGCATCAGACAGGTTAAAAGAATTGAGGTAGTTTCCAAAATAGCTAGAATCAAAAAGGAATAGAGCACAAAAAAAATAGAGCAAAGGCAGGGAAGAAACGGCAAGACACGGGTGGGAGCCAAAAGAACAGGCGGGGAACACCATCACTCATCAACCCAGAGTTGTTCACTGTTACCCAAGGGGGCAAAAAGACTTAATTTTTAGGATCTCTCAATCCAGCTTGGACGGTGACAGCCCTTCCTCGGCACTTATTTGACTTAACGTTGGCAGCAAATGTCTGCAAAGCTGCCCGAGGACTCCGATTACTCCCCCCTCCAACCCCGCGCAGGGGCAGGGCTAGCAGCCCCCAGCCCCGCCACACGTAACCCCCCCTGCTCGGCACTTTCCTTCTCCTTATTTTTTTTTTTTTTTTTTTTTTTTTTTCCCTGCTTCTCTCCCAGGTTTATCCCCGCGGAGCTCCCAGCGAGCGTCACCGGATCGCCTTGCCGCCCCGGGAGACGGGGGTGGTGGTGGGGAGGGGGGACGATGAGTCGATCGCGGAGCAGAGGGGATCCCCCAGCCCTACCACCCAGGGATGGGGGTCTCCCCGTTGCCCCCAGCTCGCCCCCCACCGCAGGCCTCTCTGCTTGCTGGGGATCTCACCCAGGGTGGGGTGGGGTGGGACACACACACACCCCCCCGCCGCCCCTCCCCGGGCCCCTTTACCCAAACGAGAAGGAGGGAGGCGGCTCACCTAAGCAAAGCGACATAACGCGGGTCCCGGGCCAGGCTGGCGTCCAGGGTGAGGGAGAGGAAAGCCGGGCTCACCTCCCCGCGGGGGCTGCCCCTCAGCCCCAACCGCAGCCCCGCCGCCCTCCGCCCCTCCGCCACCGGCACCGGCACCAGCACCAGCACCGGCACCAGAACCAGAACCAGCACCGGCACCAGCATCCTCCGTTCCGCTCCCGGCCCGCCGCGCCGCCGGCAGCACCACCCCCGCGGAGGGCGGGCCCGGCGCCGGGACCGGGGGGGCGGTGGAAAAAAAAAAAAAAACAACCAAAAAAAAAAAAAAAAAACCAAAAAAAAAAACCAAAAAAAACCAAACCAACAAAAAAAAAAAAAAAAAACAAAAAAAAAAAAAAAACCAAACCCGCCTGCCGAACGCTGCTTTGCTCGAGGGGGCGAGATGTCAGCCGGACATCCCACCCGCGGGCGTCCACCGTGGGAAGAGGGGTCACGGCAGCAGGCAGCGAGTGCCGCTTGGGGAGCCGGCTGCTTCGGGCTGACGCCCGCCTTCCCCTCGCTACCCCGCTGTTGCGACAAGGGGTATTTCTTAACTACAGCCAACGCGCAACTTGGAATTGCTGTTACAAAAAAAAAAAAAAAAAAAAAAAAAGTGGTTCAAGCAGGCTCTGGGTCTGCAGCCCGGGTGCTCCCGGCAGGGTCCAGCCTGTGCCGAAGCTCCTTCTTCTTTGGCAACAGGTTGCCTGGGCAGGGAGCCCGGTGGGGAAAGAGCCAGCTGCAGCCTCGGGGCAGGTATTGCTTCAAACACACACCACTGAAACACAGGCAGCTTTTCTTTAAACGATTACACTTCACCACTACGTTGCCCATCCCGAAGTATCCACGTTCCTTACTAAGTTTGTTTTCAAAAAGGTCACCTGCCTGGGACACACCGAAAAACTGTCCAGCCCTTATCTGTCACTTGATTTGGGTGCAGCGCTTCCCACGCTCACCCATGCCGGGGCATTAATCCGAGTGGCTCAAGCACTCACCCGCCTGGCCCTTCCTGTTCCTGCTTACTCTATGTTTTTGTCCTATTAAGTAACTTGTCACCAGAACGAGAAGAACTAGACCAGATTAATTCTGATTTTGATAAACGCATCCATGGCTCTGCCAGAAACAAAACATCAGTGACGCTCTTGACTGTCTCAGTATCTTAGTCAGCATAACGCTTCCCATTTCGGGGGTACACCACCCATTATAAGCCTACACCTGCAGGAAGGGCTGGGGTGATCTGTCAGAGGGTAATTCATCCATCGGCAAATGGCTGGAGCACCACACAAACTACCCAGCCCTGCGAGTGAACCAAGGATTTAAGAATGCAGCTCAGTGCATGACAAATCATTGCCGTAAACCATATTAAGGTCATTACTACAGGTGCAGAAAATGTTAATATCAATCAGGTGAGATGCAGCCTGCACACAATTTTTTTTTTTTTTTTTTTTTTTTTTGAGTTGTTGGAATTCACTACTTCTCCCTTAATTTCCTCAGTGTGCTTCTTTGGACAGAGGTGCTTTGAGCCACTTGCCCTTGTGCTGCTTTTCTCACGGCGGAGGTACATATTTCGAATGGTCAAGGCTATGTTTTGGATTCAGTTGCTGTGTGCAGGTGTGGGTACAAAAGGTCTAGCACATTGTCCTGGAATAAAGTTTATTTTCTTCTGTGCAGCTGGTACGGTGCTGTGTTTCAGATTTAGTGTGAGAATAATGGTGATAACACACTGATGTTTGAGTTGTTATTAAGCAGGGCTTATACTGCTTAATAAAAGTCAAGGACTTTTCAGCTTCTCCTGCTGCCCTGCCAGCAGAGCCTGGGAGGGGACACAGCCAGGACAGCTGACCCAAACTAGCCAAAGGGGTATTCCATACCATATGATGTCATGCCCAGTATATAAAGCGGGGGGAGTTAGTCAGGGGACACCACAGCTCAGGGATGGGATGGGCATCAGTCAGCCAGTGGTGAGCAATTGTACCGTGCATCACTTGTTTTGTATATTCTATTATTATTATTTTTCCTTTGTTTTCTGTCCTATCAACCTGTCTTTATCTCAACCCCGTGAGTTTTAACTTCACCCCCCCCACTCCCTGATTCTGCCCCCCATCCCACAGGGAGGGGAGAGCGAGCAAACATCTGTGTGGTGCTTAATTGCCAGCTGGCATTAAATCACAACACTTTTAGAAGCCTGCAAAACCTTGTACCCGGAAAAGAATGCCTTCCAGCATTACTACCTGGAAGAGCTACAGTAGGAAGTGGTAGCTTGTGCCTGGGCATTTTTCACATTGTATTATAAGCTTTTTTAATTATTGCAAAGTAGGGGAGATCAATACAGAGGTATTTGGGTTCTTATGGAAATTAGGGCAGAATTGGAGCCATGCCCCTTGAGCTACAAGGGCAGGGTGTAAGAACTAGGACTGGGCTTACACCCACCTGCGTGTCGTTTGAAGCCAGCTGGGTACCAGCACCCTGTCCTGCTTCCTCACTCCCCCAGGGTCTGGCTCTTTGGTTACGCAGCTCCTAGCAGGCAGTTCTGCCTCTCCCCTGCCAGACACACTGTGCTGACCGGGTTTTTTACAGCTAGGGAGAGCTAAAGAGAAAAAACTTTCCAGGAATTTCAACTGTCCAACAGCAGCAGCACCATGGTATTGCTAACAGTGACCCCGCTGCCGATCCTGGGCAAGAACCAAAAACTGATATGTACACACACATATATATAAATCTCTATATATATCTGTCTATACATGTATATATCAGTGCTTTACCTATGCATATGAAGAGAATTCAGAAGGGAAGAGCTGTCCATACAAAAGGCAGATGATTCTTATGACACAGCAGTGTTTGGGTGGATGAATGGAGCTGACCCACGTCAGAGTAGCACTTGATCTGTTTCTATCAACAAAGCCTCAGGAAGATGAAACTAAGTCTAAGCTGGTGCCAGGAAAGCCCAGAAACCGTAAAAACACAAAGATGCCTGTCAAGGTGTTTTTGTAAGCTCTTCTTACTCCCTGCCACCGAACTCCCAGCCAGACCTTGTCCTGACACAGCACAGCTCTCGGCACCCCCAGCTGGTTTTATTTCTGAACCCAGCTGGTTATGAGACTCCCAGACAGCACACGCTCTGTTTGTTCAGAGATGGAAATGACACTTCGGGTCTAGTTTTTAGCAGCTCTCTTTGAAGTGCACGCAGCCTTACAGCTAGTGCTAAAATACTTTGTTTCCACCGAGTCTGCAGCTGGCAAATTCAGGTTCCATGGGGGCACTGCAAAACCACTCAGCCTCCCTTCTAATCAAACCGAAGCTTTTAGGTGATAATATTTGGGTTTCATTACAACCGATACGCAGTGCTGGACCCACCATGCTGAAAGAGATGAAATGAAGCTTTAAAAGGAGGGACAAAGCGAGAGCTGCCTAGGCAGGACTAGCTCACGTGGAAGCAGCTTTCCAGAACACAGGAACACAATAGGTCTCATTCACACAATGAAAATTAACAGCTAGACGTTAACCTAAGCCTGACCCTCTTACCAGTCCTTCTAGAGAGGCAGTTTACAATAAGTTATGTGCAGGGATTCCTGAAAGGACAGAATTATGGACTTGGGGGAAGGAAGGGAATCGCACAAACACAAGAACTGGTCTGTGTGGGCAAGTTGGAAAGTGGAGAGAATATTCATAAAAGCTAATAAATATGCTCTGAGGTTTTTGGTCAGAACGCTTACTCTGTACTAGTTGCAACCTGAAGAGACTTATACACACCATAGCTCTGATCCAACTTACTGTGGGTTATGAAGAAATTAGCAGCAACATCCTCTAGAGCATGTATTTTTACGAGCTACCTTAGCTTTGAGGCATCTATCATGATTTCACTCAGATAAGCCAATTGCTTCTTTCCCTTTAACACAGGCTTTAGGATATAAACATTGCATTGAAGCAAGCGAGAAATCTTTGCCTACCAAAGCATCCTGAACCCATCCTTAGCACGAGCCTTCCCCTAGCACAACCACCCATGAGACACATCCAAACCCATGTACACCCATTCTGACACCTGCACATTATCCTGCAGTTTGAGCCCAGTACCGTACTCGGCATCATCCAGCAATGCCAAAACACTGCGACCAGCATCTGTTGGGTACTTTTTCCCCCTCCTCTCCCATCTCCACCCAGGGGAAAAGCCCAGGTAAGCTTTCTGTGAAAAAGCATTTAATCATACGTTAATACATACTGTAGAAAGAAAAAGCAATGTGAAAGATGGGTACTGCTTTGCTTGATTACTTTGATTTCAGAAAAATAAAGACAAGCTACGTATAGCAAAGTTCTATGCAAATCACTTCGGGGTTCATTCATTTCACTTCTGATGTTATCAAAGGTCAGAGAACACCCTGGGGGAGCTGCACTCATCCTTGTGGCAAAGCACAGCCTGTAGAAACAGAGCAGCAGAGACAACAAACCACGGTCAACCTCGGTTTCTTTCCAGACCAGCTTCCTGCAGACCTGAGGCTACACCTGCTTGCTTCAAACCAGTTTTTGCCCCGTCCCCCCCCTCCGTGTCCCCCCCCCCCGTTTCCAAAGGGGCTCCAGTATCTGGAGGGAATACCTGACTTCATTCCTAAACTCACGTCTGATCAAAACCTGCCGTCCTTGCAAGGCTGCTGGTTGTTATGTTGCCGTACAAGCACGAGGATGGGCAGTTAGTGACCCAAAAATGGACAGCTGCCAGGAATAGTTTTTTTCCTGCTGTTCCCATCCACAATCTAAAAATAAAAATGTACACTTTTAAAAAATTAGCATACAAATATCATGGAAAGTATTGTGACAGATTAATGGCTTATTAACTACTCTTGTACTTACTGTAGCAATTAATGGATTATTTCTCCAATACCTGTTACTGCAGTAACTCAGTACTCTGAGTGAATAATTTTACAGTAATTTGCACTGTTTTTTTCTGCCCAAATCCATGCCAGACTGTTTCAGACTTTGGAGGAACATCATCAAGCACGAATAAACCTTGAGAGCAACTGGTTAAGCCTTAGAGACACGACAAGATTTTCAACATGCACGCTACATCAACCGCTTAGATTTATGCTGGAGGGAGCACCATCTGTCTTTTGAAGAGAACACAAATAAACTAATATGCAATTTCATGGTACCTATCATGTAGTAAAAATACCTCAGTTAAAAAGGCAAGGCATTAAGAGACAGACTTCGATAACCTCAGGTCACGGCAAACACTGCTTCTGCACTTGAGGGCCAATTATACC